AGTATTCGCCCGGTTTACAAAATATAATTGCGTGCTCGTAATTTATTGTTGCGCTTACAAACGAGTACATAAAACAAATTTTACAATTAGAAGGGCTTACGTCTTTAAGGACTGCCCTTGAAAGAGCAATAGTGATAAAAGTTATTAAAGATAACAGTTTTGGAAATAAAGATAACTATAATTTTTTGGGAAATCATACTTTTTCTAATAATAACAGGAGGATTTTGGGAATGGAAGTTTTAAGAACACGGAATGAACAAAATAAAACATTTGAAAATCAAAAAATGTTTTAAGAAACTCATAGGAAACTTGAAAATTTTAAAGAAAAAAAAATTTCCCTGTAATGAAAGGGGATATTGGCAATACGGGATCAAGGGGACTTTTGGGCAGAATGTCCCTCACTTTTTAATTCGAAGTGAGGAAACTCGGGCCAAGCTCTACCTGAGGGATCCGCGGAGCTCGGCATTGAAAAAGAGGAGTTTTTTTTTGGTAATTTAAGTGGGAATTTGAATAATTTTTGTTTTCGTGGAAATGTATAGTAGATGGGTAAAGATGCGTTTTCAAAATTGACACAGGCTCCGATGTTTCGATTCGTAGTAGGAGATTAATTAAACGTGTAAGCAGCGAATTTAGGTAAAAAATAGGAAATTGAGATACTCTACTGGGAAGAAAGTTCCTATTGATTTTAAAGTTTTGGTACAAGTAAAATTAGGAAAATTTTCTTTAGAATTTTCAATGTTTGTAGTAGATATAAAAGATGAATGCGAATATAAAAGATAATTTTGATGGCGGATTTTCTTATTAAAATCAGACAAAATAGGATCAAGATAAGATCTTCGATTCGGAATTTATAAAAACTGATTCCCTAAATCAATTAAATAAGTTTAAATTTGTAAAAACTGATCTCTTAATTCAGAAGCGAGGATTTTTCTTATTCACGTATAAGTAATTTGGAAAAGAGGTTTCAAAAGTTTTGAATTTCTTATCAAAATTCTTCACAATTGTGAAGGGTTGAATAATTCGCAAAAAGAGCATTTTTCTAAATTTATTATTGAATCAAGTCTTTTCCGAAAACATTGTGGCGGGCAGTTATTCGGTTATCAAGCATTCTATTTGTAGGGAGATCAAATCTTATTAAGCAATTTCCGAGGCGCACTTGTTTGCGTGACGAAGAGAAAATTGTGGAAGATATGAAAATACAGGGAATGATAGAAGAATCTCATAGTCTTTGGACTTCGTTCGTGGTGATTGTGAAAAAGAAACGAAACACTGAGATTTTGTGTTGATTACAGGAAACTCAATACTGTCACTGAAAAGAATTACCCACTACTAAGGATAGATGATCTTCTTGATCGATTGTCCGAGAATTCCTGGTTTTCTATTCTCGATTTAAAAAGTGGATATTGATAGGTAAAACTTCGCCCTGAAGATAAGGAGAAAACAGCATTTTCTATTGGAAACAGTTTATGGTAATTTATGGTTATTTTTTGAATTATTTGAATTATGTAATGCTCCGGCGACTTTTGAACAGTTGATGGAAAAGGTTCTTCATCAAATATTGAACAAAATTTGTTTAGTTTACATTGATGATGTTGTTATTTTCAACAAAACTTTTGAAAATATGCTGACTGATTTTCGAGAAGTTTTTCTTCGTCTCATATCAGCAAATTTAAAGATTAACCCGAAGAAGTGTTTTTTATTTGGGAGAAAAGTAAAATATCTGGAACATGAGGTTTCTAAAGAAGAAATCTCTACAGATCCTGAAAAGACTATTTCCATTCGAGATTGATCTATTCCACGGAATAAGAAACAGATTTGTAGCTTTTTAAGATTTTGTTCTTTTTACAGGAAGGGACAAGGGTTTTTCTCAAATCGCAAAACCTTTGTTTTCTTTAATAGAAAATCAATGTAGATTCAAATGGGATGATTAATATCAAGAAGCATTTGAGAAATTGAAACAGTTTTTTATTTCTTCTTCTCTTTTATCTTTTACGACTGAGATGGGAAAGTTTATTTTAGATACTGATGCCTCTAATTACGGTATTGATGCTGTTTTGTTTCAGATGAAAAGGAGAAAGTTATTACATATTTAATTATTATAATATTATTTTTGAGTAAAATTGAAAGAAGTTATTGTGTTACTCGTCGAGAGTTTTTGGTGATAGTGAATTCGTTGAAGAGTTTTTATCATTATTTATATGATCGTGAATTCTTAATTAGAACTGATCATGTTTCTTTACGTTGGTTAATGTCTTTCAGAGAATTGGATTGGTTCATTGGTTGGAGCGTCTTCAACAATATAATTTTGAAATCTGTCATCGTGCAAAGAAAATACATAGAAATGTTAATGGATTGTCTAGGCGTTCTTGTGTAGAAAATGATTGTAATTATTGCAAAAAATAGAAAGTAAAGAGGAAGAAATTAAAGAAAGATATTTAAGAAAAATCGTTTTTGAGGAAAAAGAATTTAAAACTGGAGAGTAGTTCAATTAGAAAATCCTTCAATTGTAAACATTTTCGAGGAAAAGAATTAAATAGACGTCCTCTTCGGCAAAAGATTTTATCGAGAAATCTTTTTTCGAACAATTTATTAGTCACAATAGGATTTTTTAGTTATGAGGGATAGAGTTCTTTGTAGAAACTGGGAGTCTCCAGATTTAAAGACGATAATTATTCAAGCTATTCCTCAAAAAATGATTCCTCAAAAAAAGGAGATTTTGAAGGAGATTCATGAGCAGATTTCTCCTTCAGGTGAACATTATGTTGTAAATAAATCTTTAGAGAAAATACAGAAACGTTTCTTCTGGTCAATCTGTAAGCAGGATGTAGAACATTGGGTTAGGACTTGTAAAGTTTGTATCGCAAAAAAAAATCCTTCGGATAAAGGAAGATTTATAATGTTGGTGCTTCCTTTGAAAGAGTACAAATGTATGTTTTGGATCCACTACCAATATCTTCTTTTGAGAATAAATATTTGCTGGTAAGGATTGATTGTTTTTCTAAATGGGTAGAGGCTTTTCCATTAAAACATGTCAAAGCTAATACAGTTGTGGAAATCATTGTAAGTCAATTTGTTTTTAGATATGGTATGCCGTTAGAATTGCACACAGATTAGAGAAGAAATTTTGAATCGCGACTGTTTTAGGAATTATCTTGGTTGTTGGCGATGAAGAAAATTCGGACTAATCCACTTCCAACGGTCTTCAATCCAATGGTCAAGTGGAGAGTCAACGTCAAACATTATTAAATTATTTAGCTAAATTTATCTTGGAGAATCAGAGAAATTCCCGGGAATCTCTCTGATGGTCGGGATACCCATCGAGCGCGTCTCCGGGTAACGGATAGAAGGACGTCCGGAAAAGCCCCCGGTATAAAACCCTGTGTGAAGTCAGGAAACCTCACGGACAGTGGCGGTGATAACTGGTGTGAAACTCCCAGATGTGAAACTCTGTGTGGGATCAGGAAAGCCATCGCCGTAGATCATCCCTCCAAGCCAAGCTGAAAGCCATCGTGATGAGGGCTGCATGGCACTG